AGGAGGTTGGATTTATACCCCGCCCTTCACTACCCAAAGGTGTCTCAGAGCGGCTCACAATCTCCTTTCCCTTCCCCTCCCCACAACAGACACCCTGGGAGGTGGGTGGGGCTGAGAGAGCTCTGACAGAAACTGCTCTTTATTCAAGGACAGCTCTTATCAGAACTACGGCTTGCCTGAGGTCATCCAGCAGCCACAAGTGGAGGAGTGGGGAATCAAACCCGGTTCTCCCCGATTAGAGTCCGGCACCCTTAACCACCACATCAAACTGTTCCCCAACCTGGATCTGGCAACCTGACCCCCACCCCCACTGGTGGTCAGGGAGGACCCCGGCAACCCTTCAGAGTCCACCCTCCAAAGCAGCCATTCCCCCCCCCAAAAGAACTCATTCCTGTGGTCTGCTCAGCTTTAATTATGGGAGATCTCCAGGCCCCACCTAGAGGTTGGAGACCCCTAATCTCCCCTAAGAGAGAGAACCAAGCGAAAGCATAGAACAGAATGGAGTGGTCTACAGTTAAAAGCTCGGGCTGAGGTCCATTCCGGAATCCAAGGAGATACGGCAGACAGGAGGAGATAAGAGCAGGTGAAGCCGATACTCCAGCTGACGCTGAGGTAGATCCCACGTTCCTCTAATGAGGCTCATCCCCCACAGAACTGGTTCTCTCCCCAAAAGAAGAGTCACTCAAGCTGGAGGAAGGGTTCAAACTTTGCTCAGTGGAACGGTAGACTAGGGATATCATCCACCCCCACTGGATCACTGGAGGTCTCCAGTGTAAAGCCTCCCACATGACAGTGCTTTTAGAAATTCAAATACTTTGGCCACCCAATGAGAAGGGAGCACTCACTGGAGAAGACCCTGAGTCTTTTGAACTATGGTGCTGGAGAAGACTCTTGAGAGTCCCTTGGACTGCAAGAAGATCAAATCAGTCAATCCTAAAAGAAATCAACCCTGACTGCTCCCTGGAAGGCCGGATAATGAAACTGAAGCTCAAATACTTTGGCCACCCAATGAGAAGGGAGCACTCACTGGAGAAGCCCCTGATGCTGGGAAAGATTGAAGGTCAAAGAAGACGGAGACGGCAAAGGATGAGATGGTTAGACAGTGTCGTAGATGCAATGAACATGAAATTGAGCAAACGTCAGAGGACGGCGGAAGACCGGAAGGCCTGGCGTGATCTGGTCCATGGGGTTGCGAAGAGTCGACTCGACTGTGCGACTGAACAACAACAAGAAACTCTTGTTGCAAAAAAATAGGGAGAGGGTGTAGCAATGGCCACAGGAATAAACAGCTTTAAAGGGGGATTAGACATATTCATGGAGGAGAAGTCTCTCCAGGGCTACTGGTCATGTTAACTGAGGGGAACCTCCCACTTCAGAGGCACTAATCCTCTGAATCCCAGAGCCAGGAGGCAACATCAGGGGAAGGCCTCGTCCTCTGTGCCCTGTCGGCCTCCAAAGGAACTGGTCAGCCACTGTGTGAGGCAGGATGCTGGACCAAACGGACGATTGATCTGATCCAGCAGGGCTCTTCACGTGTTCTTAAACCCACACTCTGTTATTTAACCTTTCATCAATCCCATCCCTGCCCTATTTATAAACTGTAGCCTGATCTCATCTCAGAGTCTAAGCAGGGATGGCCCCGCCTAGTACTTGGATGGGAGGCCACAAAGGAAGACCAGGGTCCCTACGCAGAGGCAGGCAACGGCCAACCATCTCCGAACATCTCTTGCCTTGAAAACCCTGCGGGGTCGCCATAAGCCGGCCGTGACTCGACGGCACTTTCCACGCGCACACACACACACACCCCAGCCCCCCCCCCCAATTTAGGGATGCAAGACATGTCTTGCGGGAGGGGGTGTGTGTGGATAATTTGTTGGGGGTGTTTTCAACAACAAAGGTTTCTTCTACGTTACAGAAAGTATCAAAGAAGCATTTAAAGAAGCCCAACTGGTTCAGAATATACACCAGCTGCTCCAAGAGGAGAGTGCAGGTCCAGAAGTGAAATATAACGCCATCGGTCTGCTGTGCAGCCTCCTCAATTCAGGTAACTTAAGACCAATGTGCGGGAGAGGGGGAGGAATCTGCACTTGCCATTGCAAGACGTATTAATATGGAAATGTGTTTTTCCAGCATCTCTACCCAACACCCAGTACATTAAGATCGTGGCATGAATAAAGCCTGATTCACACATTTATTCACTTTATTTCTGTCGGGCCTCTCTCCCCAGTAGGGTACCCTAAGTGGTTCACATTGTTCTCCTGTTTTAGCCTCACAACAACCCTGTGAGGAGGGTTAGGCCGAGAGTGTGTGACTGGCCCAAGGCCACCCAGCGAGATTCCACAGCACAAGCAAGGATTCGAACCTGGAGTTTCCCAGATCCTAGTCCGACGCTTTAACCACCACACCACGCCGGCTCTCTTTGTGAAGTCCTCATGGTCAAAATCAATGTTCCCTCTAAGCTGTGGAGTCTTGTGTGCAAAACTTCTACTTTGTGAGCAACTGGCATTAAAGCTGTGAGCCAGCGATCTGGCTACTGCATAAATTAGTTTGCTTTGGAGCCGTCCTTCCTGAGCTAAGACAAAAATCTGTGAGCTGGAGGCTAAAAAACTGTGAGCTAGCTCATACTAACTCAGCTTAGAGGGAACATTGGTCACAATCACTTTATCCAATGTCCACTTGAAGCTCCCCACTGGGAACTCCATTCCCATGCCTGTGTGAGCCTGAGGTGGACGGGGACCATGGTTTGCAGGGATAAGATGCATAAAGGGGCGCCATCCCCCAAAATGGCCCCGCAGAGTCACTATTTGGCCCACTGAGGAAACTCAACGTCTACTGATAGGCTGGTGAAGCGATTTGTCTGGTTCATTCCAATAACGAACGAGACTCTGGCATGCTACCTAGTTCTGCGACCCCCGAGCAGTCGGCGTCCAACTTCTTAGAGGGACAAGTGGCGCTCAGCCACCCGAGATTGAGCAATAACAGGTCTGTGATGCCCTTAGATGTCCCTCTAAGCTGAGTTAGTGTGAGCCAGCTCACAGTTTTTTAGCCTCTAGCTCACACATTTTTGTCTTCTCTCGAAGAATGGCTCCAGAGCAGACTCATTTATGCAGCAGCCAAATCACTTGCTCACAGTTTTAATGCCAGTAGCTCACAAAGTAGAATTTTTGCTCACAAGACTCCACAGCTTAGAGGGAACATTGCTGATGGCTACAGGTAATTTCCCCCAGCTTCCCCAGGGCTGTTTCAGGCCAGAGAAATGGCACCGGGGAAGGGGGGGACTTAAACCCTTTCTTCTGCATGCCGCGATCCGAAACCAAATCACGGACCTGAGAATTACGTTCCCAGTGGAGAATTCCCAGTACACACCTGATAGAAACACATCTAGCAGCCTTGATGACTTCAAAATACATGCAACGCTATGAATCTAAATTAGAAGAATGCTAAATTACATGTATGGCTGCAAGCGATCGAGACAGATCTTCTCCTCCCCTTGTATCAGTTTCCCTATTTCTTTCCCAGTAACGAATGGGCCATATCTCAAATTTACTGTACTCTGAGGTCACCAGGACCTTATTGCCACAGATCCAAAAAAACCAGGATCCATGTTCTCATGTTTCATTCCTCCAAGGGTCAGAATGTTTGAGAACAGTTTATGTATGAATTGGAGAAAGGTTGTGAACGGGGCAAAAAGGTAAGGATGACAGGAATTGGTGCCAGAGGACCACTGGAACACTGATCGTGTGCAGTTGCTCCAGGGCCAACACCACACTGCAATGTTGTGGCGATTCTCCATACAATTGGGAACTGGGTGGTGGTCCCTAGACGACAAGCAGACACAAAGCGGCTCTCTGCGTCACAAAGCAAAATGTACAGCTGGTGGTGTAGTGGTTAGAGCAGCAGCACTCGCCCTGTGGTTCATGGAGAGCCACGTTTGCAATTCCCACCAACCACAAGAGCCAAATGACTGTGGCATTCCATGCACACCAGCCCAGCCAATAACACGTAACCAATGTTCCCTCTGAGCTGTGGAGTCTTGTGAGCAAAAATTCTACTTTGTGAGCTACTGGCACTAAAGTTGTGAGCGAGCGATTTGGCTACTGCATAAACTAGTCTGCTCTGGAGCCCTCCTTCCTGAGCCAAGACAAAAATGTGTGAGCCGGAAGCTAAGAAACTGTGAGCTAGCTCACACTAACTCAGCTTAGAGGGAACCCTGCACGTAACTATTATACGGCCCTTTTAATTACCAGAGTACCTCTAAGCACGTAGGGTTGTCTTTCTGTGCTACTGGGGGATTTTGTTCGATAGGCTCACATTCAACAGCGGTATACCTCCTTCAGCCACCCAGGCAAATGCAGTCTCACACACAGAACTCTCGCTTCTGCACAATCTATATATCTAATTCTCCGCCCCCGGGGGGTTGTGCGGATACTTATTTCTGCCACCAGAGGGCTCACTCTCCCCCAACAGCTTTTCCTACATAGTCAGTAGATGTCCTGTGTCTGCAGAAAAATCCAAAAAGTTTAAAAAAAAAATCCCTTCAGGGAGGGTTGAAACCCCCCCCCCCCCAAATATTT